ATGCAGAGTGGAATTTAGTGCTCTGTCTTGCTCCTGAATAAGACCTCTCTATAGATAGATAGCTGCTTCCAGGTTTGTATCTTTAGTGTAGTTCTAATTGTAGTAATGGCTACAAAAAAATGCATGGAGCAGTTCCATGTAACTTCAGTATTAAATGCATTCAGTAGGAGAAAGTGGTCCACAGCCTGCCAGAAGAATTGTGCAAGTGGCTGAAGGAAGAGTGTGATATGATGGGATGCAAAAGGTGGTCTTCTCCTGTCTTTCTTTATTTTCCTTGTTTCTTTTCCATGGCTCTCTTTGTCCAAGTTTGTTTTTGTTTTGTTTTGTGGAGAAGAGTTAGCTGGCAATTGCTCCAGTCGGCTTAAGTGGGCTTGCTGAGGACGCTCAGAGAGAAGCTGGAGAGAAGCTGAGAATCTGGGGAGCTCTTGTGTCCTTATGGTGCTTTCTTTTTTTTTTTTTTTCCTTCAGTTTCTGGCTTGGAATATACCATTGTATCATACTTATCAGATAAAGCATATTGGATTTGTGTAGGCAAGAACCACTGATTAGAGCAAACCCAGTCCCAGCTATGTAAAATGTGGATTCAAGCTCATTCCTAACCCTATAGACTCAGCTTGGATTCGGACACTCCAACCGGGGTTCGTTCTTTCTTGCTTATCGTCACAGGGCCCTCATATCATATGAATCAAATGGCAATCATCTGTACAGCCCTATTGCCTGCAGTGATTTTGCCTTACTGATTGGTTTTGAGTAGAAATCATGAGCAATGTGTTTTGCCTCTAAATCAGCATATGAGACTGAGCATGGGTTTACAGGTTTTTATAGTGCTCCTCATTGTGAGCCAGAAATATTAATGTAAGGTATCTTCAACTCCACAGTTAGATCTGTATTATATACGTGGAGCAAGAAAGTTCCATGTTTTTCTGTACTCACTTTTCAGAGTAGAACCATACTTTAAAAGACAAATGATGCTCACTCTTCAACAGAGATGAAACAAAAGTTAAATCAAAGTATTATCTGAATGAGTTTAAGTGCTCCTAGGAAAAAATATTTGGAGACAACTTTGCCACTTGCAAAATAAGCTATGGGAAGTAACTCCACGGGAGGAGAAAGAAGGATACAGGAGGCAAAGGAAAACTCAGGTTTCATCTACCTTCAAGTCAAAAACCTGTCATAATCTATTCTTATTTTTAAGCTGTACAAAAATTAGGAAGGAGTTATTTTTATCATCTACTTTCTATTTTATTATGTAGAGCCAGAGTTCATCCTTATTATAAGTTGTCCCTTATTTGTTAAGAAGTCAAATTACTATCAGAAGGCCTAGTGACTATGTAAAACATAATTTGTTATGATGTAGAGGATTTAATTGTTGAGTAAGTAAGATCATTTGATGTTATGCCTGATTTTATATGACTGAGTTGCATCTCAGTTGGTCCAAGTGACCATGAAAACATTCTTAAGGGCTTTAATCACAGGTGCTGTACAGTCATAGGTGAGATTTCCTTTCATGTTCAGTATAATTCAGATTAAATTTGTTACTATAATGGTAACATTATACACAATTAACACTTTACTGAATCTTGGTGTTTTGACCATCAAGTGGGTTTTGGTCCCTTTCTCTTGGATGAAATCCCTCTTATTTTAGAAAGTTGCTTTTTGTTCCAGAAAGAATTTTAATTAATCAAATACCTATAGAGATCTGCCAACTGTATGTTTGTGCACTTCTGCTGATTGTTGTGAAGTCCCTTACACTTACATTTTGCCTCTGTTGTTATTTACTTATTCTGGCACTACCGTTTCAAATGGTCGCTTAAGAGTAATGGAGTTGAACAAGTGCGCGTTTCCCTGCAGCCAGTATCCATCACTGTTTCTTTCAGGATAATTGGAGCACACCTGCCTTGAATTCAGGGATGTGCGACGCACATTTTTTTTACCATGCCATTCTTTATTACCTGATCTATTTTTACCCCAAAGGCAGTTCATTTGCAGTAATACTTGCATCTTTCTGGTGAAATACTGTCAGTATTTTTTAAAGTGTTACAAAAAATGAATTAGATCCAGTAGATTGCTTGACCTCTTCTTCTGTGAGACCGTTGGAAGAGGGACCCCAGGCAGATTTCGGCAGCCTTCGTGCAGCTGCAGGCTCTATGTATGGCTATCGTGTGAGGTACCCTGCCTTCTGTCTGCTGTGCCATAGAGAACATCAGGCTGCTGTTTTGTGCGTTTTGGAGCATTTGCAGACCTCTCCTGGACTCTCCAAATTTTAATTTTAAATTAAGAACATATGGATGAAAGGTTGAAACTCATGATCTCTTCTCTGTCCCTTAAATTGTGTATATTTGAGAAGAAAAACAGCAAAAATTTGTTAAGCCTTGCAGGTGTTTGAAGAGCCTGCATGCCTCCGCAAATCCCATAGAAAATCTGAAATACGCTCACACATACAGGTATACATGCGTATGTGTGTGGGTTTGCTCGAACTAGTACTAATCTGTCCTCCCTGTGACCACTTCTGTGTTTGTGACTGCTCAGTGTTAGGAAGGGTTAACAGTGCTCCAAGATCCGTGTCATGTATTCATTCATTTGTGCCAGGTCCCATGTCCCACGGGAGCAGATATCAGTAAACTCCCAAGTAATAGAGAAGTCACAAGGAAATGTCAACAAAGGTACACAGGAAAAGTCCCTTCCAATCTTTTTATTCTGTGTGATGATCAAGACTGCTTAAAGGCATTGCACTGGCTACAAGAAAATATTGTCAACTCAGAAGGTAAGGGTTTTGGTAAACACACATGCACATTTGCAGAAACATTTTTGAGGCTTATTGTTTGCTTAATTCCGTGGTATAATTGGTGCCTGATTAATTCTAACAAAGTCTTTCATCTGCTGTGCTTTGTTTTCCAGATTAATTTACAATTTGTTGTCATTTTTGATACCCAGCATATTTAGCTAGGAAAAAGATGCTTGAGATAGATTAATTATCTATAATTATTATATAAAACAGAATGAGTCCAAATGCAAAGCTGGCTGGAGTCATAATTAGCCAACTAAATACTAATTTAATTAGTGAATGTGTTTTTCTGCTGTATAGAAACATATCTAGACTTGAGGCATACCACAAAGAAAAAATCTCTAAATTAGGAGGTGGGGTTTTTCAATATCTGTCATCTTTGTATTCAGTTACATCAGTTACAGATTCTCACATAGAACTGCAGGCTCCCCAAATTTTTTTATTATCCGTGAAAATCACACATTTCTGCAGATTTTTATCCCTCACACTTGTATTTCCTCATCCTATTTTCATAAGTAGTAGTATTTGACTTTAAAAAAAAAAAAAAAGTTATTTTACTGGAGTCTTCTGCCTTTGTATGTGCATTGTTCACATGTTCATTAGTTGAAGGAATATACACACTATGGAAAATACCTGGAATGATCCAGATTTTCAAGGTAGACTCTTTCAACTACAGAAAAAGAGATCAAGGAGTAAAATGAATTTACATGACATCATTTCTGTGTACCAGATGTGAGCTGGGACAGTTCTGAGGAAAGGTGTCTTTATAGAAATTACTGTTGACTAGTTGCAACAACTGAGTTTCCTAAAGATGTAGGAAACTCTTAAGTTTCCTACGTAAAGGAAAATAAGTCAGCCTTCACTGACGTATTCAGTAGAGAACATAACAGTAAAAATCGATAGTTATTTGGTGTGGTCTACAGAGTTCATGCCCTACTTGGCAAACCTAAGGAACTTGTCAAAAAGTTGGAGGAGGTTTCTTTATCACCTTCCAAGTTCTGCTGAGATTCAAGAGGGGAGACATTAGACACGATAATGTCTTAGCTCACATTTCCCACACACAGCTTCCTGGCCTCAGGCATGTAAATAAAGCCTCCTCACCAGTTGCCACTCCTGTCTGCTTTCCAGCTGATATTGGCCCCTAAGCATACTGTTTTACCTGACTTGCAGCAGATAGGCACAGCTGCATTTGCATTAGCAGATGAGGTTGTTAGCTTTCCCTATTTCCTAAAGCTAGTCTTGCATTTAAATCTTTGCATGCTCAGTGCAGGAATGTGCTCAAACACACCTGGGCAGAAATGCTGCCTGAGAGCTCACCGATGGTCTGAATGCAAGTCAGCTGAGGCAATCACTCTTGAGGCATAAGGACACTCTAAGGCACCTAATCTATTTTGGGATTAATACACCTTTATTATTAATAATATTGTATTAATAATAATTGTTGCAACTGGCTTTTGTTGTGGTGTAAAGTGGATATCTTAATTAGGCACTATCCTTGTCCTCAGTTATGAGCTAAATCCACAGCTCCTGATGAGGTCAGTCTGGAGGACCTTTTAGAGATGGGGGCTGTGGGACACATGGTGCCACCCCCTTCTTCCCCACTCCAGCTCCAATTCCCTTGCATTTCTCTATGTTCTCTGCTGCTGCACACATAAATTATAAACAGTGCTGAACTGGAGAAGTCTTTCTCCACCTTCTCCAGTTTCTTATCTCTATTTCTGTTCTTCATCACTCTGCTTCTTTTTCTGCTTATATTTCTTACAAATCTTGTTCTTTCAGACTTAATCATAGCTGTGCCTAAGAAATCTGCTCTAGCTGACACTGAATGCCCTTTTCAGCAGCTAGCCTATTCTGGAGGCAGAATCTAATAAGTGACTGGGTCAGGGGAGATGTGGAAGCAGGGCTCCTGTTGAGTTTAGCAATTGATTTGGATGTCTGTCAACTCTCTGCAGACCGTACGATCATGTCTACTGGGATGACCGCAGTTTTATGTTTACATTTAGTATTCATCTCTATAATTCTCCAGATCCTAGTTTTCCCTTCAATAAATAGGGGGGATATTAATCCCACCTCATGTATTTCTGGTGTTCAGATCTCACTCAAACTTTAATGTACTATTTGTCAAATTTTACTAACTTGCTTTAAAAATGTTAGAATTCAGAATTTTTCAGAGAATGTTGAATATTAAATAGTATATGCATATGTTTCATTTAAGAAAGCAAATTAACTGGCTAGCAAAACTACATTATACTGGTTATTGTAGGTGCATAGAAAAACACATTTCATTCTTCCACTTCAGGAATAATGATAATTTTCCTCAACTTATACTCAGTCTTCTTCCCATACAACTTTCTTCTACCTCATGCTACTTTTATTTAGCTATTTACTATTTTTGTCAAAGCTTGTTTCGAGTGCACTATGTCAACCTTTTTTTTTTTTTTTTTCATATGGGGAGGGCCTTTTTGAAAA